AGGCAGTTATAGTGATCTGTGCAAAGACTAGTGCTAACAAACTCAATAGCGCCCTCTAAAGGCACAACACAAGAGATGACACAAACAAAGGAGACTATAGAAAACACAGCACTTACCACTTCATCTTCAGACCAGCATTTTTCTATTAGTTTGGGGACTGGCTTCTTCACAAGGCGCTGGAGAGCTTTCCCTGCATCATAGCTGCTCTCATGAAGCTGTGGAGGATACATACAATTTACCAATGACACTGACTTTAACCTGTATCCATTCAAAATACATTTATCATAATATATAGCATTTTGGTTGTTCACCTTTTCACTAGTATTTTATTTCCAGAGAAGCATCCTGTTAAAATGTCTGGCCCTGATCTAACCTTGACACAAAGAAAACAAAGGAGGAGGTGCCAGGCTAAGCCTGTGTCAGACTGAGTGAGGAAAATAGCTGGTGGTGAGTCCTCTCCTCTGAGAATAAACAAGCATTACTCATTGGAATTGCAGATGCAGAAGGTCGAGTGACAATGACCTGCCGGCTATGTTAATTCCCACTTTATAGAGTCGGCATATAAATGCCCTGTTTATAAAGATTGTAATCTTTTTCTGGTGCTTGATTCCACAGTATTCATTGTCCAAGAGACAGACAAATGCCTCATTATGGCCTGAGTGTTATTGGCTCGTGGGGCACTAAAGGGGATACTCCACTCTCTAGTCTCCACTCACCTAGCTCTGCATCTCTGCATAATAACAAGGATCATGCAGTGATTATATTTTATATATATTTTATGGACATAAGCAGTACAGTAACACTTACAGTGTTAAGTGCGTTGAGTGTAGTGTCGTCTCGGGAGGCTGCAAGGCACCCATCTTCTGTTGAGCCTCCGTCACACATTCCAGCAAAGGCAGCCATGCTCCTGTGGGCATAACACCAAATCTATTCATATACAGCAACTCTGATGAAACATTCACACAGTTTAAATATGTACTGTCTATTTAAACAAGGGAAATTAAATACCACTTTGGCACAAAGCATTACAAGATACACAGTCATGTAAGGCCACAGCAGGGTGCATGTCAGGGCACCAGTTCAAGTCTCATACAACAAAATTTTGTCAGGTGAACTTAATCAGTACTTTAATTGTTTTAAATTAAAACAATTGAGAATATATAATAGTTTTTCAATGCATGGTTTGAATTCAGAGTTGAGCAGCTCACCTTGCGGCTCTGAGGTACATGAGAAGGTCACAGTCGTTGACCCCGGGCATCCACACCAGCTCCTCATTCTCGGTCACAGCCTGGCCACACGGGGAGGGGAAGGGCTGCAGCTCGGGGAGTTTGGCCTAATTAGTTAAAGGGTAGAGCAGAGAGACAGAAGTTACACTACAAATAGCAGATGGTTTTGAAGAAAATATTATGTTTCAGTGCGCTGTCATCACCCGGTGGGTGGTATCAGAGGAGAAGGGGCCAGTTACAAGTGACGGTCATCGATCGTTTAACTCACCACTGTGGGGCCACTGAGACATGTTAATGTGAGTTAGACAGCACAAATCTACTCTGTGACTGTAAGCAGAGCTGTTGGGTTTAAATGAAGCATGTGAAGCACCCACAGCCATGATACTTTAATGTCAGTCTTACACTTACAAGACTAAATGATTTATGAAATACAACTGACTTTACTGAAGTTGAATAATACATGTTTTATTTCACATTAGGCCCCATTAGTTTATGAAATGTTCCACTATTTTAAAATCTGATAAAATGACAACTTAAAAAAATCAGTAAAAAAGTAAAAAATTTGGTTTAGTCTCAGTATTCTTTACTATTGCAGACTACAAAGATTCTTTTGATTGATGTAAAGAGCCTCAAATGGCACAATAGTTTTACAATTACGATTTTACCCTGCCTAATCTTTACATTTTTGTAACACCTTTTGATCGTGTTTTGAATTTATAATCTCAGTATTATAAAATGTAATGCTACACTGAGACAGCTGAATCCTCAATAGGGAAATTACATGATTATTTACAAGAACGTAAATGGTGTATTTACAACATTTTCAGTATGTTTTATACTTACTTGGTGGCTGGGGCCCACTCGGATCTCCCCTTGTGTGCTGTTCAGACGCCTGTGAAGAGACAAAGAGATTGTGTTTAACTAAATATTTATTCAACATCCTAGTGGTTATAACTGTCTGTGATCATGGCGTTTCAATGTGTTTAAATCTCTCTGTGCATTAAGACCCAGAGCTGTAGTTTCAGGACAAAAGAATTGAGAAGCAGTGTGTATATTACTTGGTGAGCAGACCTGATATTGTGGATGCAGCAATAAAACCCTAAAAGAGGAGGGGAGCTGCCGGGTATATGAGTACGGGGGGCGGCAAGGTGGGGGCGACACGGCTGCCGGTACAAATGTGTGTAACCATGGCAACTGCAATTTAATAATAGTGTTTCCGACTCTCCAGCTGCAGTGGATTAAAGAAAATGACAAGATGTTCCCTTTGAAAACCCCTTTCCCTTCCGTTGCCTAGGTAACCGTACAGATTTTGAATTTTTTTCTTTTTTTTTGTACAGGCGAGTGTTGGGGCGGCCCAGAAACTGTCAGCAAGATTTGCACCCGGAGAAGCACACACACTCAATCAAGCTGCGGAAATACAAGAGGCGAGAGAGGCTGCAAAACCACCCAAACCAAAAACATGCCTTCCTCTGTGTCCCCTTCCTAAAGATTAAATGTGTAATCTATACTGTACTGTAGTTGCAGGCCAAAAACTACATTTCAAAAGCAGTAAATGACCCCAGGCTTGTCAGGACAGTTTGACACACTGCCACTGCTCCGGGAAAATAGTGCAATATTTCATTAGTTTATTACAAACACTCAATGGCAGGCAGGGCAAGCTAAATATAAAGCATTCAGGAGTTGGCAAACAAACCTGATGAATGGAGCTGATAAAATGAAAATGGGGTGGTCTGTAAGTCAGCAGCGTTTTAGTTCCAGATTGTAAAAGTTTCAAAAGATGGATTTTATAGTGTAAGCTTAACTTGGATCATAGTTAGGGGAAAGTTTCAATATATCAAGTACTGAAATATTCAGAGTTAAGAAATTTGAAAAACTACTGTTAGGATTGTGCAAAGTGGGATGAGGTCAGTTCCAAAACATTAATTTTTTTAACATTGAGACGCACACAACCAGTACTATTTTAATTATTTAGAACTGCATTACCATTTCTTGTTTTGCTCTTTGTTATAATATTGCAATGTGTGAGCTACTGTTTCCAAGACATTTCCCATATAGATCAATATAACACTGAGATAACTTGTAACATTAAACAACTTGAATTAATTACCACAAATTAAGATGAAAAAAACAACAATGATTAGTTTAAAATGACTTCAGTTGACAATCACAGCTACAAATGCAAAAGTGTAAAATATAGTGAGCGTTCATATGGTATGAATTGACTGAGGAAAACTTCTCCGAACGTGTTCCTGACAGTGTGCAGTGAGTCGGGTCAGCAGTGCTCTGGCAGCAGGCTGTAAGGATGACAAATGAGGACCTGTGCACCAGAATAAAAACAGCACTGAGCACAGCTATGTTTTACACAGGCAAATCCTCAGAGCCCACAACGACATTCAGTCTGAGGGCTGCTTTGGGCCGAGAGGAGAGCCAGAATATAAATGTACCGTGACAGGGAGTTTTCAATGAGACAGCTACTATATTTCAGACCTAAACCCCAGCCAAAATACACAAGGACATGTCTACTGCTGTGATGCCATGAGTTTATAGGATGCAATTGCAACTGTAGTATATATTAATACACATTAAAATACTAAAGATAAAATGTAAAAAATAATATAGGCTGCTTTTCCTTCCCTCGAGTGTATCCTTTGTCTCCAATAAGCATCCAAGAGACAAAGGAAAAGAGTTCATCATTAGTTCACATATATCACTTGCTCAAAATATCATCAAGTAATTACAGTTTTACTTATTAAACACTAACATCAGCAATGTGATTCACTTTGTGTGCGTGAGCAAGCAATCAATGATAGTCCCGCCCCTTCCATCAATTTCACCCAATCGCAGCATCCGCCTGTGGCACACTGACATAATTGTAGCTCAGCAATAACAGAGTCAAACTTTGTGCAGTTAAAACGGCGTGAGAGACGGCGTGCGCCACAAACCACCCAGCAGCACCCATAGGAGACGTTTAGGAGACCCTCGTGCTTTGTGTTGTGCACCGGTACGTCGCCGCGTGCGCCATGTCACCTCGGTTGTAAACACGGGGCTGCTGCAAAATGGAGCCACGGTTGGGGTCTCCGCTCTATACCCGGGTAATAAAGAATATGAGGGGCATTTCATGAGCTTGATTGTCGCAAATACACAGACAACGGAGCGTCCACGAGCGCTACATTGAGAACATAGCTCCACATTGAAGCAGTGAAGCGCAAAGCCGTCTGCAGTGACAGACTGTCTGCTTCAGTTATTGTGCCTCCCCGACAGACGAATTACAACAGGTAAAGATAGTGACAGCGTTGCATTTACAGATCGAATATTATTATCGTATTATTTCTGCGTAAAGCGCGAGAGTACAATGGATGTGCAGCTTCGTAGCGCGGAGAACGGCAGGACCGAGCAATGAAACCGGAGCGCACACCTACCTCCGGGGGCTGAACAGATCGTCCATGTCTGCCATCGCCCTGAGCTTGGCCGGTGACACTGAGCGTAGCGGCTCTCCCACCTTTTTGAAGGTGCTCAAAATGGAGCGGCACGCATTCACTTCGGAGAGGTGTTCAGAGCTTGTGCTGTGACCTCAGCCTGCACGTATTTCTCTCCAGACACAACTGAGCATGTGCTGCGACCTCACAACGGCGCGCGCCACGCACACACACACGCTGGCAGGCACACACGCATGCGGCAGCGGAGTTCATCTCTGCTCATGTCTGTGCCATAATAAACAAGAGTGAAATTGCAAGGCTGCAGACACGCCGCTCAGAATACCAAACGAGCAGAGCTGCGGTAGAGGGAGGGGGAGAAGAGATCCAATGGGGCCCGATAAAGGGGGATCCCTACCGGCTTCCCCCAGAGCCCTTTACAGGCACTGACTGTCACTAACACGTGACACCCCCCCCAAACAACAACAAACCAACAAATCATCATCTTAAAGAAACAGCATGCACAGGATTTTAGATTTTAGGCAACTCCAGGATACCACATAAATGATGAGAGTATCTAACTAAATTAAACATTGCCAGGCCAACAAAGGCTTCTTCACAGACTACAGCTGTAAAGAATTGAAACGACAATTCATGCATAAGAGCAAATCTTTGTCACAAGCAGATTAAATGCATAACATAGCAAAGCTCATCATTGTGTTATTAATGAAACACTACTAAATACTATACATTTACTACTTTAGTACACATGTCAATATATTTTATGCTACATCAGTGTAATGTTTATGACAGTGGTCCCCCCAACCAAAGGTGCCAGGATACAATGACCAAGTTCAAGCCACATTGCCTAATATAAAAGTGGTATGTGCGTCAGTGTTGGTGATAGTCGGAGGAGCAACTGTGGCTATAATAGTAAATCTTCATCACCAAATGTGGAGTTAATGAGTAAGGTGCTACATGACAACATAAATATTACAATTATTATATCATTTGAATGACTAATCCCAAAATAATGGGATGGTATGGATGTCACAATATAACATTTTATGTGACAGGTTACAATAACTGTGAATGAATTGTGATTACAAGAGTGACTAAGAGGACATGTCTCACCTGGTCTCTGGGTTGTATCCGAGGATGTAGAAGAAGGAGTCAATCCGGGCTCTGAACTCCCTTGCAGCAAATATGTCGGAGAAATGAGAAATGTTGCACTTCCCCCTAGAGAAAGAACACAAACTCATTAGATACAAGATCTAACTGACAACAGTCATCAAAGCAATTGGGGCGGCTTAAATGTTATCTTTAATGTGGCATGTGCAGTGGGACAGGTGAGGTGCAGCTGTCATGACATTAATGTAAAGTAGATTTTGTGGTACCACCATACAGTATTTTGCATCAACCAACTTCTTTATACAATATCATTCAAATTTTAATCCTTTGAGTACAAAATCAGAGCCTCTCCACAACTGCTGCGCATGTAGGTTTGAAGTGGTCTTTATTTCTCAAAAGTGGACCAGAAAGGAATTAATTTTACAGTAATATATACTGAATTAACAGGCAGGTCACAACACAAACAGAACACAAATGTGCAAATGGTCTTGGATAACATGCCTGATTTAGAGAAAAGATTTAGAGAAAAACAATAAAAAATGGGCCTTAATACTGACTATAAGACTTGAGCCCCACTAACACCTACTGTAAATGCCAGTTTCTGTTTGTAGTCCTGTTAGCCCTGCGCCTATCAAAGTAACAAGAATCCATGGCAAATGCAGACCCACACAGAACCGGTATCTTCATGCACTCAAGATTAAAGTGCTCTAAGAAGGCAGCTTGTCTCTGCAGAGCTGCGGCGTTACACCATCCCACTGGAATTCCCTCCCATTTATCTAAAGCCCAGAGAATAAGTCAAATCAAAGGCGGCTCTGTGGAGGAGATGTTGCAGCTAATTTGCCCTGAAATCAGTGGTTTCTGGGAGACAGGGCTTTGACTGGCTGCCACCGACGAGCCTCACACATGGTTCTGGTTAGAGAGCGTAGGGGAAGTGGGAGAGGTGGTCAGCCAGGAATGGATCAAGACATACAGGCAGGAATTCCCAAATGAAAGGAAGAAACCTGTTTTCTACCACGGAAAATCATTATGGCTGAGTGCTTCCTGAGGTTAAAAGTACAAAGTTAGGATTATGTTTTAGTAGGCCAGTAAGACTGGGTGGTGTCCATACATAATTATTTATAATTCAAGGGTATTTACAAGTACACTAATAAGAATGAGTAAGAATAGGATTGTTACAATACAACTACTTATACTATTAATACTTTATTAATCATCCTTAGGAAAAATTCAGGTGTATACTCGTGCCCGCCCGGTAACTATTGTGTATGTTACACATTTAAACTTACTACATTCCACTATACATGAAATATAAAGCAATAGAGCCCAAAGATAAGGAATGGTAATTAAATTTGTGTATGTTACAATCTGCCTTCATACAAATGGAAACAAAGACAACAAGGTAAAGGATGACACATAATACAGCTTGTATTGCGTGATCTGCTCGCTTCGAGGTGAGCTTCCAGCTTGCCCCAGGACCCCGCTCTTCAAAGTGCTGCTTTTATTTGACATGTGTTGCCTTTAGTTTACACGCTTACATCTAACTCCATTCTGTATGTATTTACCTAAGAGCAGCAGCATGGTAAGTGTCCACATAGTCTGAAATAAAGAGCTCTCGACTCCTCACAACTGGGTCTGTGATCACCAGCTCTCGACCCGAATCTGGAAACAGAAAAAGCATGGTTAATATTTGTGCATTAAAACATAAAAGGCTTCTACATTTTTGACCCCGAAGAATTTAAAAACACAACAGGGTAGATTACTTATTAGTTCACAAAAAAATAGCCAAGAAGTATATTTAAAATTTTACAAAAAATATTTTTTCCCAAAAAAATATTTTGGGAAAAGTGTTTTGTTTTGGGCGAAGTCTGTCATTTTACTTTCTGCTTGGACATTGGAAGTAACAGAAGATATGACATAGGCAAAGGTAATTTCATAACTGTTGCCTAGAAACCATAATGCTAACAAGGGTCAAAACCTTTCTGAATTGTACAAAAAAGGCCAACAGCTTTTGTTAAATAGAGGTTGAAATTGTCAGAATTGGTTCCTAGACCCTGCATCAAGCCAGTAATTACAAAAAAAACAACAACATAAAATCCTATCATATGCAACTTACTGATAGCACAATCTCCATGCAAAAGTAACAATAGTAGCCCTATAGCTCAATAATGCCAATTTTATGTGGTTGCCCAGGAGAAAAGGAAATAACCCATGTGGGGCATCAGCAGGTTAGAGAATGGACCAAGATTCACACTTGACAAATGACCCAGGTTATATCGCCTGGTGGCCACTGAGCTCCAGCCACCTGACATCTATTCTAATAATCCGGAGCCCCACTGCTGCTGCAAGGACACACTGCAGATAGTGAAGTATGGGTCTATCTGCAGGGAGCCAAGAGTGTGGTGCAGGGCTGATAACTGCAGCAGTGCACCTGGGTTTGGGGTTTGCACCGATATAAAAGACAGTTGCAATGGTATTCAATAAAAATGCATCATGTTATAAAATATAATATGTAGCTTGCTCTACTAAACAAGAACAGTGGATGGCTTTGTTGCTGTAGTATAGTGCAATAATCATAAGGAGAGTGATCACAAATTGGGGATATCAAGCTTCAGTTAACTTTCCATTTGAGCATAAATTATCCATATTAGAACAAACTGAGCAAGACATAATATAATTGCTGTATAATTGTTGTTTGGTTTCTTCTTACTGGGCACAACTTCTCAAACAAATAAATTTAAGTTTTGAAAAGGTCCCTGGTTTTGTCTGTTAAATCACTCAGTAATAAATGTGTGGTCTTTTAAACTTTATTATTATCTTATTGTTGTCATTGTCAAGTGTTTTAGGAAATATTCAAGTGTGACAAATGTTCAAAAAAAATATCAGAGCGGACACAGTTTTACCCTAGATAGTATTTTCCTCCTGTGATTTGGTGTGGTAAGAGTATAAAGCTGTGTCTCTATCTTTCTTGCAGCGTGTCTGATGGAGCTGAGTGGAGAGGGTCACATGACTGAGCGAGTTATTAACACTCGACTTCTGTCTGGCCTCGAGCACAAACACAAAGTCTGGCTCAGATCTGAGTCTGAAAGTCCTTCACGTCTTTGTATCACTGCACTGACAAACTGCTAAGAAAAACGTGGAGAGGCAACATGAGCCACTGTAACCACATGAAAAAAGCACAATGTTATGAGAAAAATCCATCGGTGGAAATACTGTAACCTTGAAACTGAGCTGGGCACAAAATCAGATATGTGGAAAAATAAGTGACACTATCAATATGTTTTATTTGCCATTAGCAAAATACACTATAAATCAAAAATAATATGATATTTAGGTAATTTCTCATGACATTTAGAGACTTCTGGATTAACCATTGTGATGAAATAAACCAAGAAGATACTCATTTGAACAAATATCCCAAACAATTTTACCTTTACTAAACAGTTTGAGAAGGATCTTGAGATTTAACAGAACTAGTATAAGACCACACGGTAACAAAGAAAGTACTATTATTCTGTATTCAAAATGACAGTCTATTGTTTTAAAAAGAGCATTTTATTATGTGTGACATTAAAATAAGAATCAAACCTATTCCTTAGATCTTGACATTTTAGTATTGTGACAACACAACAGCTATTTAGCTAAAGAACATGAGCATGTAAAATAGTATGTCATGTGATTTAGTTCCTCAGTGTAATATTTGTTAGGTGTTTTGCCTCCTGTCAGATAAACAGAGTGTAAATGTTTTATAATTCCTTTACCGTTTTCATTGTTCCTGTCCTGGACCAGGTGTTGGTAGACCGAGTCGGGCACCTCTGACTGGCGGTAGTACCATTTCACATTCATCAGCAGATGGTCCCGTTTACTCTGCACAGACACACACAAAACAACAGAAAAACACGTATTATTTTATTTGTTAACGACATCACAAAGCAGCTCTTGGCAAAGGCACTGACGCTGTGCAGACGTGCCGTTTATGACTTAGAGGGCTGATGCCAAACGCACGCAGAGAGACCAAGTCAATTAAAAAGGGATTGTAGAGCATTTACAGCCTCCATAAAACAAACAGTGGGATGGGGCTTTGTTAAGGGAAGTGAACCAAACAAAGCAGACATGAGAATCCACCATGTACAAATCAAAATCCTATGTGAAAATCTAACCATTAATAACACTGGTACACTTGTAACAGTAATAATAAGAACAGCAGTAATGGTGATATTAGTACTAAGAGTAATATAGGGTTATAGATATATTTATAGAACTTGCAATTAATTATGCCAGAGAAAATAATACTTCAAGGAATAGTAATAGGAATATTGCTTTCAATGATGTCTCATTTTATTTCAAGCATTTTTTGTTAGTTTGTTTTGTTTTAGTTTATTGTATTCCAGTCACTATAGTACATTAAACATGCTTAATAATTATTAATGGTTTGTATAATTTCATATATTAAAATGTATGTTTTGAGTTACATAAATAAAAGACCAGATAAATACAAGTGCCAAAAGGTAGTAGCTGATCATGTGCACAACTAGAATAGCTGCCCTTTAGTGCTGCCACCTACTGTTTTACCAAATTAAGTGCATGTCATCGAAAGTTGCACTTCTCTATATGTCCAGCAGGTGGCAGCACTGGGGTGTGAACAGAGCTGGGCTTCGAGGAGCAGTCAAGGAAATAGCAGAAAGGAGAAAGGAGGGGGAGTGTGGGTGAATGAAGCTTTGACTGAGGCAAGGGATGAAAAGGGCAAAATACTGTTTTTATTTCATGTTATAAAATATTTATTGAGCCTTCGCATGAGCCCAACTGACCATCACTGCGAGAACTGGACTGAGGCACGTTCCCATTGGCCCCTTTTCTGTCTTTATTAACCACAATGCACTGCAGTAACTGTCACACACCTGCACACCGCTGACACTCTGAGCATATGGAAAAACCAGGGGAGGGAAAATCCAAGGAGTAATCCAAGACAGACAGTTTAACATCCGATCTTTCCAGGCGCTTAACTGTAACTGTGTGTGTGTATGAGGTCAGAGTGAAGATATTTAAAGCCTTCAGCGACATTGTTCTGTTATGTCACTGGGGAGAGAAGCAGGGGACATGCAGCTGAGCAAATCAACACCTCCCTGAAATGCACTGTTTATGATAATATAGAGCAAGCAAAACCAAAGCTTAGAGCAGTTACCAACAGATTTCAATAAATCTATGTAAACATGTGACACTGCCAGACAACTACAATAAAATGGATAACACATAGTAATAGTGTTATAAGTGCATGCAATCAATCTTATCAGTATCTCAGGCAGTTTAGTTGAAAATCAAAACAAAACTGGATTACAATGCTCTTACTCAGTGTTGAAGTAATGCCTTGTAAATAATATACTGATTACTTGACTAAAACATCTCGTATGTAGTTAAACTGTGTTACCAAAAAGTTTATATCATGTTATCAGTATGTTTTGATTTGGTCCAGAAGTCCAGAAAATATCTATGTTGGTGGTCCATTAAGCAATATAATTTGTTTTACTCTTTTGAAACCCAGTATAACCTCACATCTGTTTCACACTCTCCATCTTCTATAGCTTTTCCAATTGTCCTCCACCTCCTTCATTCTTTCCTGTTGCTCCTCTGTCCTCTGTCTGTAGTGGTTAAGTGAGCTCGGACGTGTCAAACAGCAGCTGGCGGCCGGTCATGCATTTACAGCTTTGGATGATTGTGAATCGACAGAGCGCCACATTGATGGAGTGAGACCGCAGCCAGCCCAGTGTGGAGAAATGTATAGGATGACGTCAGGTCCCTCCCCTGTTTTTCCCTCCCCACTTAGCTCAGCCATGCAACACCTCCTGTCTACTCTCAACTAAAAAGACTAGACTGTCGACTAACTGCTGCTTAGACTGCTAATGTGTAGTTAATATTTCATTAAAGTAACCAATAGAGGTTCATTTTGTGCTTACATAACATCAAAATCAATAAAGCAATAGGCAGAAGGAGATACAGTGTTAAACTCCTCGAGCTATCCAGAAACATATGATTTATTAGCGTTTAGTATAGAATCAGATTACTTTGTAGAGACATTTTGACATAAAAGCTTCCAGGCACAAACCAAAAGGGAGGTTCAACATATGGGGCATGTAGTGTGGGAGTGCGCCATGGCTTTCAATTATCACAATCCTCCAAACACGCGGCTAGAAAAATGAGTAGATACTAGCATTAGCAACAAGGAGAAAATGAAAAATGATGGACAGCTTGGGATGAACCACCAACACTTGTATTGTCTGGCGTTGCCGCTAAGCTCGCCATTGAGAATAACACAGCGACCACAATGCTGAATTGATTAGAGACATTCCTCGCTGCCTGTCGAGATCCGAGCCCCTGCACATTGTCAGCCATCTTTGTCTGTTCTGCCAGGGGCTAAATACGCACCTCCCTCCCCTTCTCCAACGCAACGACCCTGGGAACTTAGCCACCGCAGAGAGGCCAGAAGACTTACTAACCCATACTGAGAGGATGATATGAAACGGCGAGAAAGCACGTGAGGAATACAGGAGGTGAAGAGTTGAATTAAAGTAGGTGGAGCAGGAGGGATTTATACCCCTTGACTGAAAATTACAACTTCTCATGGTGTATTGAGAAATCCCCCAAGGGTACAAGACAAGGCTTCCCTTTCCATTCATTGAGGAGATATAAATCTGAAAGTCATGCTTAGAGCCTGAGGACAATGGCGGCGACTGCCCTCCCTCCAATGGCATTCTCTGGCACACACTCACACACACCAGGGCAGGATTAGAGCTCCGCAACAGGCATTCATGTGAGATGTGAGGGAAGCTTTTATGAGACTCCCTCTTTGAAATATGAATTAAAACTTATCTGCTAAGACAAAGGCATTTATCACTCTGTTAAAAAGGATGAGATGAACAGAGGAGGATTATGCAGAGGTTACTGGCCGGCTGGGTCAATAAAACTAGTGCAGATGTCTTAATGTTGTTAGCTATGAAGTCACATAGCAATTTTTTTTCAAAATTATTGGGTCATGACAGAATTTAATGCCAGTGACAATACATCATAATAACTACTGAATGGATAACTTAGAAAATTATATTTTAACTCAAGTCCGGAACTAACTCTTGGGACTTCAGCGGCATTGAGTGATCTTTCATCTTATTAAAATGTCAGCTAAAGTCAAAACTATTACATGCCTCTGCAACATTACACCATTGAGAAGTACAATGGGAAGTACATTGTGAAGTAGGCTACATTGTGAAGTACAGCTCAAATCTATAATGGTAAAAACATGCCTGTCTTGCAAGTCAGAGTAGGTTTCTGATTTCAATAACTGAAAGAGGTAGTGGGAGTGAGATGTGCACTCCCTGTGGCATTAACCAAGTGTTTGAAGCCTGGTGGTGAGGCTGAGCTGTGGCCAAACTGAGGAGCGTTGTTACAACCTGTAACCTCCACTCCCCCTCTGGCTCCCCCTCTGCTTTGTAACAGTAGAGCTTAAACAGATCCAGAGCAGTGGTCCCACACGACAGGGCCCCGGTGCACCTCGTTAACAGGAAACCAAGGTTTATTTTCCCTGCTTTTCAAACACTCTCCTCTTCCTCTGCTCACCCTTGTACTGACCCCCCTCCAACAGGCCCTGCCCCCTCCCAGTGACATCACCAGCAGGATCTCTGACTCTGTCCAAGAGGTGGCAGCCAGAAGTCAAAGGAGGAAAAACACATTGCCCTTTACAGCAATTGTCTCATGTCATAATGAACATATCCAAATGTTTTCAATAACACATGATGGTGTAATTCAGTTTGTCATTTGGATTCCAATCTGTTATTCACTTACAATTTTGTAAATACATATTTATACAGTTTGCAATGAGTGAATCCAGCCACAAAGAGACAAGCCAAGCCTAGTGAAAAAACAATGTGAAATCAGAATACAAGTCACTGTGGTATAGAGGGCAAATTATTTTCTCTGACAACTCTGGAAGGAAAAAGGTACACAAAACAAACACAGAACAAAACAGACAAAATATAATGAATAAAATGTACTTATAACAAGACCCTGAACACAAAGGCAGTGCCGATGGGAGGAGAGAGGGAGGAGGGGGAGGTCAAATGAACAAGCATGGCAGCCACGGTTCTTGGTGTTAGCAAGGAATGTAAAGCAGTTGAGCCATGCTAGCCGGCTAAAAGCTTAGTTAGCTACCACCCTAGGGGCAAAGGAGGCCAGGGTGAACTGGATCAGGGCTAGTAGCGGCGTGACATTGACAGGCGTGTCTCAGAAATGGCACACGGGGCGGAAAAGACGAGGGGGAGTGTTCACCTCATCCCCGCGAACGCAAGAACAAAAGGCTGATTGTGGCATTTGGAGACAGCGGAGGGATTGGCAAGAGTAATCTGCTCCTTCGACATGATCAGATTAGAACAGGGGAGGCGCATAAACACACACAGAAACATGATGGATCTGAAGACCAGGCTTTTCCACTCTGCATCTTTCCCTTTCTCATTTTCTCGCTTTCTCAGAGATCTGCCAGCACACCAGCACTCAATAAGCGCTTCCATCTGGCCAGCACACACATACACAAATACACACACACACATAGGGGAAAGTGGCTTCATACATACACTGTCGAGGTACAACAGATCTGCTGTGCTCACGCAATCTCCGACATCTCAGTGACTGACAAAGGAGGTTGTTAAAAGGAGATGCCAGCATGCTGTGTGAGCAAACACGCACGGACCAGCCAGTGCACTCTCTCCCTTTCTCCGCGCACACACAAATAACAGGCTTTCAGCATAAGCACCACTATTCTCCTGGCGGCCCAGCAGTGGAACAAGGCAGGCTGAGGAGTCTGTGTCAGAGGCAAGAGAAAGCAC